GCAAAGGTATTACTTCCTGATCAATTATCGTATATATTTCTCCACATTTCTTACCACCAGAGTCGGCAATGTGGTCGAAATAAATCTTCGAAGCTCCAGCTACCAAACACTTCGTGACCTTGATAGCCTCTGGACTCCACTTTTTTTGAATCACCATCTCATATTTCTTTTTGTTGTTCTCTACAGCATAACAGTTGAAGACTCCAGGTACAATGTGATAGAGACCGATGGTGTAAGTGAGGTATTCCTCGGACATTGAATTCACTGGGATGGTAATAAACTCATTTCGGGAGAGGGAAACTTTAACTCCATGATCTGGTAATAATATTTCATATTTCGAAGTTACTTCGGTGTAACCTTCGACTATACCACGACACCACCAGGCTGGGAGCTCTGCCTTTGTTCCCACTTGTCCTTGAACCAAAGTCAATGCTCCATTTTTTGGATGATCTAGCACATTCTGCGAATATTCTTTAGCTAATACGGTTAGTTTATGGGATATTTTGTTTAGTTTTTGGTTTCTGTTATTTACACTACCCACTATTATATGGTAGGGATTCAAGACACTGAATACGAAGATTTCTTCTGCTGTTGATGGCAATTCACAGGGTTCTTCTGTGGAAATAGAATAGTCAATTAATAAATGGATTGATCAAGAATTGATTCAATAGCGAATACGTAAAACCGTTCAAGTCGATTTTTTTTCGAAAGTGAACTTTCAGGTGATCAACTCCCAAGATAACCACAACTATTGTGACCCACCTAAAAGTTCCCTATTTACGACTTCAACCGTTTATCCTATTCGCTACTGAATTCAGGTCCGATCGGGATTAGTAGTGGAAGTTATTGATTGACTTGTCGTCCTACGTGGAAAATTTTCAGTGTCCCCCATGGTTCTGACGTTGCGACTGCTTCAAACACCCCACATAAAGAGAAAACTATATCACTGCAGTTAACCGATGTCGGTGGCCTGGTAGCTGCTGGTAGCCCAGTGGGCTAGACACAAGTGGGGGAGGTTCGTTTATACCAGAGAGATTCGCGATCTACAAAACCGCCGTCAGCGCTATGGCCAAAAATGCGCGACCGTGGAGAACTACTAACTTGCGGAGCTGCTCAGAACCCTTACACTCTAAAAAAAGATTACTTCTGATAAGTAGGAAAACTACTTGTATTCAGTACCGAGGCGTTTCTGGAGAAAAGCTAATTTTTTTACTTGGTCCAAGTCGAAAATCGACTGAATACAAGTTTTATGCTCCAAGTACAATTAGCACTGGTGACAAGTACCAACTGTACTCATCATCAGTACTGAAAGTACTTGTACTGAGTACCGAGCTGTACTTCTCAAAAGTAGAAAAAATACTTGAGACAAGTAGTAATAGTACTCAAATCCAGTACCAATGGATTTTCGCGGAATATTACAGTAAGATTCATCATACAATGGAGATCGTTGAAAAACGAAGAATTAATGCAAATAAAATTATTGTTTATTGTTCGTTTGCCCCTCAAATGCTTGAAAATTGGAATGTACTGGACTACAGTCCAATGTAATAAATTCTCGAGCTACAGAGATTTTTTTTTCAAAATTTTTCAAAAGATGTGTAGAATAACAATTACCAATTAAGTTTTCCAAATTTAATTTCCAAATAGTCCTTTTTTTTAATAACAAAAAAGGTAATATTCATGCGAAATAGCCAGCAAAATGATTCTCAAAATAATTGTTATATTTTATATTGAACAAAAAAATTGAAGTATTAATCTTTTGAGCTATCTTGTGTGAAAATTGCAATTTCATTATGCGACAAAGAATGAAATTGCCTATTTAGAAGTCGAATTTTGAAAAAAAGTAGCTCGTAACCGTTATTCTAGACATCTTTTGAAAAATTTACAAAAGGAAACCCCTGTAGCTCAAAAATTGAGTACACTGTGCTATTTTTCTTCATTTTCAAGGTCTTGGGGGCAAATAAACAATAAATAATCGTTTTTTTTCCCACTTATTCTTCGTCTTTCAACATATATAAATAATCAATCATCAATGTGTGATAAATCTTACTGCAATATCTCGCGATTTTTAAACTCATCGTAACCTCCCCTCGATGAAATTTGGTCATTGTCATCTGAGAATGATAATGATAATGATAATGAGAACGATAATGAGAATGATAATTAATGATATGAAATTCCCCAACAAAATAACCAACCAAAAGTACTGGAATCAAGTCATAAAAGTACTCGCGAGAAATAGAAAAATTACTTGCTCCAAGCATTAAAAGTACTTGTGAGAAGTAAGAAAAATGCTGACAGGAAGTAATAAAAGTACTTCCTCCTAGTACTTTTCCTACTTGCTTAGCAAATATTGTACTTCACCCAAGGACATGAAAAGTACTTGGGACAAGTAGTTTCCCAACTTCTCACAAGAAAACTTCTCCCAAGTAGAATTCAGTACTGGTGAGTAGTAACTTTTTTTCAGAGTGTAACCTCAAATAGTGCTGAAATGTCAAATTGTTTCAAGTACAAGCCGTGATATTAAATTTTGATCTTATAACCTACCGATTGTTTATGAAAATGGCACAGAACAATTATCTCAAGAATTCGAAAAGAGGATGTTGTGTTCCACAGCGCAAAGTAAAGGATAAACGGAATTTAAGTTTCCATAGTTTTCCATCCGATTTAATTTTACGGAACAAGTGGACGGAAGCATTAAAACTGAGAGGAATTTACGATGAAAACATGAGNTTTATGAAAATGGCACAGAACAATTATCTCAAGAATTCGAAAAGAGGATGTTGTGTTCCACAGCGCAAAGTAAAGGATAAACGGAATTTAAGTTTCCATAGTTTTCCATCCGATTTAATTTTACGGAACAAGTGGACGGAAGCATTAAAACTGAGAGGAATTTACGATGAAAACATGAGAGTTTGCAGTCAACATTTCTCTCTTGACGATTATATAAAGCGGCGTAAGTATTTCATGTAGAGATGAATATTCTATAATGAAATTAGCCGAGTCGGTTGAGTCCATTTTTTGTTGAATATCTCGTAACCGAAAGCAAATTAAAAAATTTTGGTAATGAACTTTTTTAGCTCTTGTTTTCTNATTTTTATATGAATTTTGGGGTCACTTGTCACATGGGCTCCAACGAGTCCATTTTTAATTGGTGGAAAATGTCATATGACTTTTCCCANAGTCGGTTGAGTCCATTTTTTGTTGAATATCTCGTAACCGAAAGCAAATTAAAAAATTTTGGTAATGAACTTTTTTAGCTCTTGTTTTCTACCTCTTCATAGCAATTCCTCTAAATTTCTTAGATTTGTAAAAGAACCCATTTTGAAATCAAGTTCATATATCTCGACGGATAATGGTAAATAAACTTGTCTTAATTGGAAGTCAATCATCGCGATCGCGANAGACTGTCCGCAACGCGTCACAATAAACGAATTCCTTATTTGCAAGAAAAGTCACCACTCTCTGTTAAAGAAATTTTATTCCCGGATAATTTCAATTGTTCGTAACTTACCATTAATTCAGTACTATCCCGCGTAATCGAAGGAAGGATTGAAAGACCGGACCGATTAAATGAACTATTATTTCCACCAGAATTGTTACTGCTCCGTCGCTGCTTCAAGACTGTTTAATTTTGATTTTTCTGAAATTTTTATATGAATTTTGGGGTCACTTGTCACATGGGCTCCAACGAGTCCATTTTTAATTGGTGGAAAATGTCATATGACTTTTCCCACTTTTGATTTTTATGGGGAAGTAGTTCATTCGGTTTTTGGGGTCTTAATTAATCGGTTTTCAATCGTTCTTTCACGCGCGAGNCTACCATCAGATTGGTTCCGCAAGATAGTAATTCTACAAACCACCACCAGCCGGCGAGAAATCGCTTTGCGATCGCGAATTGTACACATTCCATTTCGTACACATTTTCGTGCAGTACACCAGGGTCCCGCCGGACACGAACAGAGTTTGCACAAATTTTTCTGAACACATCCCAGACGTACAGCACCATTTTCGTCGGTTGAACAGTTTCGATATAGCAGAAATTAATACTATTCATTTGATATCGGGCGAATTCCTTAGTACTAATTTGACTTTAGAGATGGCAGAAGTAGTTGCAATTGGAGAAATGATGAAGGTATACCAGTGGTGCCTAATGAAAATGAATGGGAGATCTCCGCAAGAGAACTGGATGCATGAATGAAAGTACCNGGGAAATTCATTCTCACGGGATTCACAAATGATTTCGTTATGGGCAGTTCTACGCCAAATCTGAAATCAAAAAAATTCGATGTCGGGGATTCTCTTACCAATTTTTTTCTGGAAAGTTGGGCATCAGGCGAATATTTTGAAGAGAAAAAATCAAAAAAATATTAATAATTGTGAAACATACGATTCNAATAATAATCTTTATTAATTATTGAATGACGCTGTTTGATTCAAATTCGATTCTTCGTCAATTCCCAAAAATTGGATCTTGATGAACTAAAAAGTGTAGGAACCACGGAATAACAGCGAAAAATAACTTTATCTCTGTTATACTCGCGTGGGGTGTTAGGAACACCCTAGACCTTTTTTCCAGTATTTCTCTTTTGTACTTCAGCATTGATATGAACAAATATTATTGAATTAATGAATTCCAACTATTCAATTCCATTTTTTTCTTCATTAAGTTTTTAAAGGTGGCTTTGTCCGTTCAATTAACAAAAGGGCGTTGTTATGTCCAGAGAAGGATTTTAGCGTCAAATGGACATGTTTTAATTGTCACATTAAAATCAAAGCTAAAATTATTGAATTTTATAATTATTGGACGACGCAAAGTTTCATACTCTTACCTTTTTTTAAAATATAAGGGAAAAAGGGCTTGATTTAGGGATAGGGCTTGAGTTGAGACGAATTTCTAATCAAGAAATTTGGAGTTATAATGGGAATCAAATTTGAATTTAAATATATTTTGTGTAACTATTCGGTTTACAAAAGCATAGGCGTGATTTCACAGAAATCTATGTAGCTAAAATTCCTATCCCTGGAATGGTCTGAAGGGTTCGAATTTAGGTTTACAAATTTTTGTTACTCACAATTCGGTCTGTTATTTGTAAATTATTCGATGTGTTTGTAGATCCCTGGGTAAATCCGTAATTTCCTCACCAGCAATTAGTCGCGCTAAAGGCTATTATGGATACTTTCACGGAAACACTTTCTTCTACTCGTTGATATTTTAATGAATTTTTGGCAGTTGAATTTGAAGATTTTAAGAGTTTGGTTGAGACTGTCCGCAACGCGTCACAATAAACGAATTCCTTATTTGCAAGAAAAGTCACCACTCTCTGTTAAAGAAATTTTATTCCCGGATAATTTCAATTGTTCGTAACTTACCATTAATTCAGTACTATCCCGCGTAATCGAAGGAAGGATTGAAAGACCGGACCGATTAAATGAACTATTATTTCCACCAGAATTGTTACTGCTCCGTCGCTGCTTCAAGACTGTTTAATTTTGATTTTTCTGAAATTTTTATATGAATTTTGGGGTCACTTGTCACATGGGCTCCAACGAGTCCATTTTTAATTGGTGGAAAATGTCATATGACTTTTCCCACTTTTGATTTTTATGGGGAAGTAGTTCATTCGGTTTTTGGGGTCTTAATTAATCGGTTTTCAATCGTTCTTTCACGCGCGAGTCTTAGTATTGAGTAATTGGGGCATGCTGAGTGTGCCATTTCATCACTTTTGAACTCGATTCTGGTGTCTTTGAAATTTTTAATTGAGTCCAGGTGATGAAATGCACTCAGTTTAATTTGCAATTGTGGATTCGGTTCTTAATTGCCTGAAATTATAATATAACTTATAATTATGATCTTACATAAAATTTATTCTGGTCTTAAATTCCTAGTCTAAAATTTTTGGACATTACAGCGTAAAAGGTGTATTTATCTCCTGGGGAAATTCATTCTCACGGGATTCACAAATGATTTCGTTATGGGCAGTTCTACGC